ACGCTAAAACAATTTACAGCTTTTTTTAAAATTTGACATGGGGAGAAAAAAAAAAAAAAAAAAAAAAAAAAAAAAAAAAAAAGGTTTAATTTATGGTTTAAAAATGCAAGCAGTGATAGACACATCCAAACATCTGGTTTCTGGCTCTGCCTGATAATCATAGCTTTTATTTAACGCCATTTTGGAAGGGAGATCTCTTTCGAGGTGATTTAGTTCTGTATGAGGGTCAGGGCCGGCGCCACAGCGTGCGCAACCGCATCGGGCTGCAAAATTTTTAGAATTTGGAAAAGAAACGGGCGACAGCATTTTGCATTTGCGGAGTTTGGACCGGGCGGTAAAACGTGTAGCACCGGCCCTAATGATGGCTGCAGGTGGATCATATGGACATTAATGTGTTCTGAACGGGCAACGGTAAAAATCAACTGAATCCTCGTCGAGATTTTGAACCACGAATTTTCCAACTGTTAGCTTGACGTGCCGACCGCTTATACCACAAGATTCGGGCAATTTCGAGAATCTTCCCTTATTTAAAGAGTGATAGGATAGAGTCACGAGATCCAATTGGTGATGAGTTATCGTTCACCACATTTTAGTTAACACTGCAGCCAGATACAATATGTTACGGATAGTCAACCTGTGTTGTGTAGAGAATTGTCTGATCGCGTTATAAAAACTAGATGAATGATTTTCTGATTTAAGAAAATCTTAATTTTATTTGATTCTGAATTATTTATTTTAATGCTTTAATTTTGGGGAAAAACAGATACTTCTGGGAATATTATTTAGTTTCAAAGAATATTATTTATTTTCCTTTTATTTGCAATTTTTGTACAAGCTTTGATTCATTGTGAAAAGAAGCAGGGAAAGGAGGCGATTTTGCTAAGTCATGATTTCGCGCGCTTTGTCCTTTAGAATGTTCTAGAAGAAATTTCATTGTGCAATTGTTCTTAGGACAGGAAGTACGTGACAGAAGGGTCAGAGGTTGCCACTTAACCTTCGATGTAAGTCATTCTGGTTTTGGCGATCGGAGGTCCGGTTGTTGGCTAAGTGAAGATGGGCGCGTACGCGCATTCACCCTTATTTCCTCATTCAGGAGTTGAAACGCAAATTTTGTCCAAATTAAGGGGGCGATAATTGAAGCCATTGTGGGAGTCCGCGTTTGTGAAGGAGACGAAGAAAATTCGAGTTTGAATCACTTACTTGCTAGACTTACTTACTTACTTTTGACTAAGACTGTAACTTCGAGCTTGCTCTTGGGTTGGGCGATAGAAAAGATGTAATTTACGAAGTGAGATGTTTTTCCGGCGGGGAGCGGCAGCCATTTGTGCTCCCCGGCCGCGTTTTGGCTAAGAGGCGAGATTGAAGGATGGGGACGAGTTTTACTGAAATATTTAAAGAGACTTTTTGCCCGACTTTCGAAGGTGAAGGTAATAGTTAAGCTTCTGGTGATGAATAAGGTAAGAGGATAGTTATCATTTCCAGTTGTGATTCCGGCACAGAACGGCAGACTTGCTATTCAAGCAAAAGGCCGGGCTATCGGAAAAACCGGGGATGATGAGGATTTTCTCAAGTATCTTAAAATAAGAAATTTTTTATCCAGCGAGTATTAAATTCCAAAAATTATCGGCCAAGTTCCACCCCGTCAATGTGAGTTTCTCGACATCTGGACAGCGAGCTTGAAGATTCTGCTCGGGTGCTTGTTCCAGTGGCATATTTTCTTCGATGCTGAGCGTGCGGATGGGTTGCTGAAAAATAATGGAGTCGGTGTTCTTCTACATTGTGGTCAGTGATACCGAATGCGTGAGACTCCTTAGACGCCAGTGTTCCCCTTACGGAATGTACTACTTCCAGGATTTAAGGAGGACTATTTATCCCTGATTTCTCCCAGAATGCAAGGCCAGCCCGAGACATTTCCGGGTGCGTTTCAAGTCGTCTACATAACAGATAAGTGTTGCTTTGTTATCAATTTTCCTTCGAACTTTTTGGAAATTGAAACTTTACTTTAAATTGAATCTTAAATTAATTCTAAAGAACTAAATTGCCTCTTCTTTTCCCCTTCTTAATTTACCGAGACAAACCTTAAGGTCCTCATATGAATTAGGATGTAATAATATAATTTGTTTGTGTAATCTTCCTTAGAACAGATGTTGAATTGCAAATAATATGTTTTCTTTTAACTTCTTAGAAATTACAGAACGGGTACCTGTTAAATTAAAAGAGTTATGTAATAGATTTGCAAATCATGAATTTAAATGTAACAAAAGAAAATGATAATTTGAAGAATTCAAATATGTCTAAAATAAGAAAATTGAACTGTAACTAAAATAAGAAATTGAGTCTCTGATTAGGATAAGATTTAATTTTAATTGTGGAGGAATTTGAATAAACTGGTATTTAATCTGGAAACCTATTACTAATGTTTTCTTTATATCTTTTATGCGTTTTTCTTATATATATATTGATTTTACATTTTGTTTATTCGATTCTCTCACGGCGCAGTCCCGGATGCATAATACACAACGCAAAAATTTGTATTTCATCTTCATTTATACGATCACTAAAAGTGTGGTAATTAGCTAACTCTTAAGAGTTTAGTTTCTCAGTTGATATTTAGTTAGTTACGGTTTCACCTGTCTGTTTTTGCATTAGTTTCCTCCCTAAGAGGAAGTAGTAACACAGCAAACAGAACATTGGTGTCGTAACAAGACACCTAGCCCCTAACGCACATTAGTGAACGATTTAAGCTTTCACTGTTTTTCCCCCCTCCCAATGGCAGATTATGAACAAGTGTAACTCATTAATCTATACAAGGCCAGATGTGGTGGTCTCTTTATTATGGAGGCACCTAATAGGTGGAGGGGTACATTCACAGTGAACGGTGGAGGTTTTTGCCCGATGATGATCGAAGAAGATCGAAACACGCGTGTATGTATAAATATATATATACACTCCTTAATGTTTAATTTGTTCCCCATAGTGCAAAAAGTAAACTACTTGGGTGTCACTCTTAACAGTAAATTTACATGGAGCGACCACATTAATAAAGTTCGAGGCAGAGCTATCTACTGATGAAAAATCTATTTCCGTTGATAGGGAAATACTCCAAACTGGATCTCCTGAAGAAGAGACATGTATACACTGCTATTATTAGACCCATCTTTACGTATGCTTCGCCGGCATGGGCGGCGGTCAACAAGAAAGATTTAAATAAATTGCAAGTTGTTCAAAATAAATACTTAAGGCTCATCACCCAAGTACACTTCTACGTGTCAAATGATACTCTACACAACGACCTCAAAATTGAATGAATGTGTAGAAGAATTTATCAATCGTATGAATAGAAGTTTCTTTAACAGGGCCACGAATTGCTCACACTTACGAGAATTCAACACCTTCGAATACATTACCTGAGGATGCTAATATCAGACCTCACGGGGCCCATCTCACCCGTAACTCGAATTTCCCGACTTAATTGCACCTTATATAGTTATGTATATATTTTGTATTTCACATTTATTCTTTTACTCTCATTTTTATTCTCATTTTAGCGTACTGACTTATTTTAGTATATAAAACTTTGTATTTTATGCATTTTCTTATGTATGTTATGTTAACATCAGTCAGATACCGACACTCTTGTCAAGCCTCTCCTGGTCTTCGTTCTTGTTCAGTTTTCTAAAACCCTTGTGGCGTATGGTCACCCCTCTTCTCTTCACCTCAGACCTCCTCTTACTCTGTCCGACTGTTACGTCATGCGCCTCTTGGGCAGACTTGCCATTGAGCCGGCAACATTGCACATATTAGCGATAGCCCAGCAATACATGTATTGATTGATTAATGTTTAATTCTTTATTTGACCATTCTCCTTCGCGCAATGCTCTCCTGTTTCCATATATTTATACGGTTTTGCTGCTTGTTAATTAATTTTCTGTCTATTTAAAGTTTAATATTGTAAATTATAGTAAAAATAAATGCATGAATTTAACTACACATTATTTACCAAATTTCCACTTTAAAAACTTCTTTCAGTTGCACCATATTAAGTTACTGTGAACGGGTGGTTGGTATAGAAATTTTACTAACCCTATAGATGAACTGAAATGATATCGCCAGGATTGTCCCAAACACCTAAACAGCGTAAATGTCATTTTACAAACAACAAATTTATTGTCTGAACAAATGCATCGCGACTGGCACTGATTATGTTCAGAAGTGGACAAGCTTTTAAAGTGAATCTAGTCTTTCTAAATGCACAGCTATTAATGGAAAGACAACGATTGTGCACTGTTATAAAGTATTTTGAAATGAATATTTAATGAATTAATTTAATGTAAATAAATGAACATTTTGACCTCCCCTCTTAAAAAAAACTGAAAGCTTTCAGATTTTTATAATACGCCGAAATGAGCGTTTCTTCTTCTTTTTCGTTTACACACACATACACGTTTCGAGAGCATTTCAGTTAATGTGCCTTTGTGCTAAAAATATTATAAACAGCATATTTTTAGAATTTCCGATACACAAGTCTCGCGCGCAGGAGATAAAAATGTTTTTTCCTTCTACAGTGTTGCCACAATTCGCTTTGAAATTGTTGAGTTTTTATCCAAAAATTAGTTAAAGTTTTACAAAATATGAAATATACAATAAAACAAATTCCAAATTCGCAGATCCAGATGCTGATATTCGGATGTTGGACAACGTTATTGATGATTCTAGGTACAGTTCTTTTTTTTAGAATGCGAAAAACATACATATATTCATGCAGATTCTTCATTATTTAATTTTTTGAAATGTAATACAGGACGCAAAGATTTGGTGGCAACAGTTTGAAAAGTGAAACGACACAAAATTGCGTTTCGAGACTAACAGTCCTTCTGGACTAATCCCCCTTTCGGCTAAAAAAAGCAAATTTAACTATAGCTTTCAACTATTATACAATGAATCCGTATTAAAACTGAAACATAATACAATATGATAATACAGGAGAGAGTTTTACTTACCTCTCGAACATCGTGCGCCCTACAACCTGGTCTGGAAAGGATATCAATACTTGGAGGTTTCATCTGTTCACGACAAAGTATATCACCTGATACAGGTTTGCCATATTCTGCTTGTGTGATGCTAATGACAGTATTCGGCCAGCATTCAATACGAAGTTTTTCATTATCACAAACTTGCATATGAAATGAACGTAATGTGTCTGAAATGCGAAAGGAAAACAAATATACTGCAATTAATGTTCGCAAAAATGGGAAAGTAAGGTTTACAAATCACAATTAAAATATTCTACGATTTACAAAAGATTCTAAGTTTATGAAAATGATTTTACAAAAAGCTTAAAATACCTACACTTGCTGAGTAGATTTAATTAAAAATATATAAAAACTTTTCCTGCAATTGGTGACAAGCGGATTAAATTGACTTGTATATCAGTTTTATAAAAATGATAATTTAACAGAAGGAAAATTGAAAACTTAGACATATCTGATATCTTTTTTAATTCAAAAAGATGAGTTATAAACATATTTATTATTGTTTCTTTTTGAAAGTTGAGACATTAAAAAATCAGAATAAAAATCATATTTTCAAGTAGTGAAATTTTATAAAATTACGAATGCGATTCGAATCCTAAAATCTTCCAAAGGATTCGAGAGTTCAAAGTATTGCACTTTTTTCGTAATTCGGTACCTATCCTAAAAAAGTATTAAATATATAATTAAAAATTTCCTGGAGACTAGTCTTACCGACAAAAAGAGAGAGAGGAAAAAAAAGAAAGAAAAGGGGAGAATGAATCTAGACCGTAAGCGGCCGTGAGTGCCACGCTCTTGAAATAATTTTTACCCCTCATTATTCGCTGTGATTCGTAAAAGATTCTTCAAACTGCATAAAAAAATTCTGAACTGTCATTCAAATATTTTTTATCGCATACCATTAAGAAAATAAGCGTTAAGATTCCAAATTCGCAGATCAATTCGCAGAGTTTCAATTATGTATTCATTTAATAAATCTCATTTGTATTCTTTTGATAAATATATAGAATACATTTATGTTTGTTTCTTATTTAAACGTATACTTCAAATTCTGATTAAAATTTGTAATATTACGTTCTTTTCCTAATAATTATTCTTATATGAAAGTTTTGAGAAATTTCAGAATTTTAAAATTCGGAAATGAGAAAATTTAGAATTTGTCCCATATATAATTAAGACGACGGTATAATAGTAATATCGTTTTTCTTCCTACACTGATTTATTAAAGCTATCTAATTATTGAATAGATAAAGTTGCGTTAAGTCACTGCAAAAGGTTCTTGTTCTTTCTAGAGTTATAAAAGACAAGATCTCATAAGAGGAAAAAAACTCTGTAGCTATTATTAACCTTATCTATAAAATACCTGATGTGGACAGCACATGACTTCCTTGTGCAGCCTACTAAATTATACAGATTTTTTGCTGCTTTTCATTTAAACTTATTTCCTCGAATTTCGTTATAGATATATTTTTAATTCAATTAATTCGGTTTTCATTTCGAGGCAAGGCAGAAATGCATAAAATCTCAATCTTCATTAAAAACTGTAAAATACAGAAAAACCAAAAACACCAAATACCGCTAAAATAGAAAAAAAAAAAAAAAAAAAATTCCAGTTAAAATTAAGAGTTTCTACGCAAAATACGCAACGCAAAATGAAGCAATTCGGCCAGCGGACAGGAAGACAAAATGTTCGGTGAACAAAACAAAACTGAAAGTTAACTTTTGGTCCCATGGGCAAAAAGACACTGAAGCTGGTCACAAACTGATTTAATTCACTATTCCACTAAGGGTTTCAAATGTAAACAAATGGCCGCCTCGTTAGGCTTAGCGGAACTTAAACTTTTTAAATTATTGATAATTCTACAACTATCGCATGCAGATTGACTAAAGGCATAAAAACCTTAACAAGAACGCAAGAAAAATATAATGCAATCACATTTAAAGCAAAAACTGCACAATATACTAACGTATAAGAATAAAAAAACTGGACTCGTCTGGGTAACAGAGTGGCTATATTGCAACCAAAATGGGAGTTCATTGCGCTAGATGTAGCAGTCCCATGGACAAAATTTCAAAGTTCTACGACTACCGGTTTTTTAGTTACGCGAGATACATACGTACGTACAGAGGTCATAAAAGAAATCTCTTCTGAATGTATTTTAGACCCATTTCACAATCTGCTTTGGTAAAAAGAGTTCTGTATTCTGTTCTTAGGTAGAGGTGTCACGCAAAAACATCGTTGAAATGTATTCGAGAGCAGTCAAAATGGATAGTTTTGTTGAAATATAATATCAAAAGTATTGTAATCGTTGTAATTGTGAACTTACAGTACAGTATTCCTTCACTTCCTGCAAGGAAGTAAACATCAGGAAAAATTTAATTTTTCCTTTCCGAAACATTGATATATATATATATATATGTATATATATATATATAAAGGAGTAAAAAAAAAATTATACGTGGAAAAAAAAAAAAAAAAAGAGTTCCAGCCAGTGAATAAATATGATTATACTTTCTACATACATGAGATTTTTCATATTTCAAACACGTTTCTGTATTTGCTGCGATGTTCTCGGCGGATATCCAGCCCTCTAATGACAACTTAATAATCAGTAGATACAAAGTAGAACTCCGTTATTAAATAATTAATAACTCGAATTAAATAATATGGGACCATTTCGAAATTACTTTTATTCCATGAAAAAAATCTTTGGTGACCTACAGGCAGCAATGAAAACACTGTTTAAAAAGAACTGTTCTTCTGTTTAAAAAGAAAATGATTCTTTTTAAACAGAAGTATGAAAATAGAGTCCTTTTGAACTGTGTTAAAATATATTCCCATCCCTATATTATATAAAATAATAAGAGGTAATGTGAATTTTCCTAGCAATGTTTATAAGGTAAGCTAAATACCGCGAGCGTTTAATTTGCAGTATACCAACTGATGTCGAAAGTAATATAGTATTAAAAAAATCTGATGTGTACATCACATGACTTCCTTGTAGGGAATATTAAATTATACGCCTTTTTTCTTGCATTTCGTTTAAACTTATTGGATTGAATTAAATCTACTTCGCCGACAGCGCATAAACCACAATAGAATAAGCATTCTTTAAAATTCACTTGATTTGTTTACCATAGGTACTCTGGCGCTAGGTTCACTTAACAGTATTATATTGCGTTCATATTATAACTCAGAATGCACAAAATTTATATCATTTAGGGAATTATCTAATCGTTGCCACATGTTCTATTCAAATACTAAAGTAAAGCAAGAACGATGTATAAAAGAAATTAAGCAAACAAAAAAGAAACAGTTTTTCACACACGATTGAGTATTTCTCATTCAATTAATTTCGTTCTCACTTCGCGACAAGGCAAAAATACATAAAAACTCAAAATATCTGTATTAAAAATTACGAAGTAAATCTTAAACACTTATTTCCTCGAAAAAATTCCAGAAAGTATTAAAAATGATTTAATTCGCAATAATAAATGAAGGCATTATGTTTGTTGCTGCGAAGCTACGTTTCTCTAAATTGGCAACAAATCCACTACTATGCTGTTTCAAATGTCAACAAGCAATGGCCGCCATCAAAAAAAAAATTATTAGGCTTAGCGGCACTTAAACAACTTTAAAATTGTTGATAACTGTAAAAATATTGCACACAGATTTACTAAAGGCATAAAAACCTTAACCGGAAGATAAGAATAGCATAATTCAATCATTTTGAAAGCAAAAAATGTACTATTTACAAACATATAAGAGTAAAGAAACTGAGATCACTGAGCCGAGTAACAGAGTGGATATATATATAAATATATTTATATACGTTTGGTACGGCCGATTGCAACCAAAATACGAGGTGCACATCTACATGTTATAGTAGTCCTATATACAAAATTTCAACGTTCTGAGGATACTCGTTTTTGAGTTATGCGAGATACGTACGTACATACGTTCGTACAGACGCCACAAATAATTAATTCTCTTCAGAATTCATTTTAAAGCAGTTTTATAATTTTTTTTTTTTTTTTTTTTGAGGAAAAGAGTCTTTTATTCTGTCCTTACGTACAGATATCATGCAAAAACATCGTTAAATTGCATTCGAAAGCGGTCAAAATGGATATTTTCGTTGAAATATGCTGCTTGAAACTTTTCGCGATTACAATATACAATGAAATAAAAACAGAGTAAGTTCGCTTATTTTAGTCACTAAAATACAGTAATAAAATATATTGTTTTCAAAAGAAGAATATTTGAATAAAATTTGTTATGGAAACGTTTAAATACATACCAAAAAAACTCCAAAATTTCCTTTTTTAAATTCTTCATTTCTGTTTAAGTCTGCTTCTTCTCCTCAGAATTTTCTACATTTTATTTTTGAATATCTTTTCTAAACTACTGAACCAGTGCTATATGGATGTATGTAAAAGCATGAAGTAAAAATTTCTCATAAATTTAACACATGTTTCATAATTATGAAGTTTTCATGTTCCAAAATTCTCCTTAGGAATAAATACTGTCAACATAAAATTTTTTTACAGAGTGGCATCTGGCTTGTACTGTGTGTGCGTGAGATTATGGCAAAGCCTCGAGGGCTATCTGCCTAAGAGGAGGGATGCCTTCGTGGAGGACTTTCTAAGGGAAACTGACTCGTATGCACGTTACACATGGGGAAAACCACGAAAACACCCATGCAGCCAGCCCGTTCGCGGGATTCGAACCTCGGACCGAACTACCAGTGTTCAGCGACTTTACCGCTCGGCCGCTGGTGGGCCTGGCTTGTACTGAAAAAACACATTAATAATTCATTATAATTTTTTATGCTCCAAGCTTTGTCAGTTGAACTATTTTCAGAGGAAGACTCTTTTCAAAACAATTTAAAGTTTAATAGGTATCATTTATTATTAACGAACACAGCTACTTGGCAATTTCCCCCAAATTCGAGACTTCACACTTTATTATGTTTGCATACAAAATACGGAGATTACGTTTCTGTTTATAAAATATGTAGCTACCTCTGAATAATAAGCAGCGAAAAAGTTCACGGAAAAAATATTGGCAAGATTGAATTTTTGATTTACTGATTCCGTATTATTTTTTCCACCACGTTTCGGCTTAACTCATTTTTATTGTATGATAAAATCCTCGCAAATAATA